CTGGGCTCCGGTGACTAACATCTTTGGAGTGGCCAGGGTCAGAAGCAGTGAAATTCACGTTCTCGTCGAGCTGCCTCAGGTCGACAGTAGAACAAGATTTGTTTTTGGTTCTTACTTTGTCTTGTTCTCATTTTTTTTTTGCTCTTTTAAACCAACAGCACGTGGCGTTCTCAAACGGTCACCCATCCAAGTTTGCACCACGCCCGATGTTGCTTATACTTTTAAGTGCGTCGTTACGGGAACCGTTGTGACCAGCATGCTATGGCCGTTGGCTTTATTATTATTATTATTATTGTTTTATTAATTGTTGTTAATTATAATAACAAAGCTTTGTTTAAATTTAAAAAAAAAAAAAAAAACGGAAAATATGTTTTTATTTATTGTTTTTTTTTGTTTAAATGTTGAAATTATAAAAATAAATTTCCCGGGAGGGGGAACGGGAGTGGGAGTGAGGAAGATAGGGGTAAGGGGGTGGAAATTTTCCTTTTCATTTTTTTATAATTTGACATTTTTAAAATTTTTTTAGTTATGCAAAAAATAAATATTGGGGGAAAATTTTTTTTTTACAAAGAAAAACAAATAAAAAATACAAGAGAGAAAAAAAAAAAAAAGGTTTGTGTATGTATACATAAAATGTGAACTAAATTTGTATTTTTTCAATAAATGTCAGTTAAGGGTTTAAACTTCGTCGTTTTTTTTTTTTTGACAAGTCACGGATTTCAACCTATTCGCAAACTGAGGGATGAGGGGGCGAGGGAAAAAAGAAAATCCGTTGAGATAAGAAAAAAAAACGCTTTACAAATGCGCGTTCGAATAAACGTTGACAATTTTTAATAAAAACAAATTCAGTTGAAAACCGACGCCATTTTGTTTTTCGGGGTTAATTTAAATAATCATTTGCGTTTAACGAAATTTTAAAAAAAAAAAAATTAAAACAAGACAATGCGATTGATATTTGCGTTTAACGAAATTTTAAAAAAAAAATTTGCTACCGGATATGGACGTTGTTGCACTTAAGGATAGCAAAAAAAATTTTTTTCGTTTTGTTTTTTCATCACTCAACGATGAGCTAAATAGTTTTTAATTACTTTTTTTTTTTATTTGCGCGTCAGTTTAACGTTAAAAAAAAAAGAAAATTTTCAAATGAGTAAACGAGAGCAAAAATCCGTAAAATCCGGTTATTGCGTTTTATTCCCACTCCATCGAACTAATTTATTGAATGATGAAAGTGTTTGTTTGAGTTTGTGTGCACGCGTAAATAACCACGATTAAAAAAAAACATTTTCATTGCTTTTTTATCGATTAAAAATTATTATTATTATTATTAATGTTAAACATATAATAATACGAACCTGTTTGATGACGATCGTAGTGCTGGCCTTTTGTAAAATACCAAAATGACGATGACATTGAGGAAAAACCCAATGACGGGGACGCTAAACAACGCCAATGCCTGAAGCACCTTTGTGGTGCTATCTTTCATTTCTGGAAAAATTATATGTATGTATTAAAAAAAAAAAAATTACGTTACTGGAAAACTGGAAAAAAAAAAACGTTGCGAAAAAAAAGGGAAAAGATACGAATATCAAAAAAAAAAAAAAAAAAAAATTCAGAAATGAGGAATGCAGGGCAACAAAAAAAAGCTGGAATAAAATTTTTTTTTCATTTTTTTTTCAGTAAAAATTCAATGTCATTATCATTATTATTATCATTATTATTATTATTATTATTATTATTATTATTATTAGGTTCAATACCTTTTTGAAAAAAATTCAAATATTAACAATTTTTCCAAATATTATACATTCAATTTTTTCTTTTTACCTTTTTACCCTTTTCCTTTTTTGTTGAATATTTTTACATTGGTTAATTAAAAAAACAAATTCGCCATTTTGTTTTTATCTCTTTACTATTGATTTCATTTTTTTTTTTATTAAATATTTCGATGGTACCCGAACGCCGTGGAAATAACCAAATTCATTTCAATATTCTTTTAGTAAATTTTTTTTTTCAGAAATTTTTGCAAGAAAATCATTTTTCAAGGATTTTCCTTAACGTATTTTCGATCGATTTTCCTTTAATTTTTTTTTTTTTCTTATTTCTCCCACGAAAAAAAAATTTTTTTTTTCACATTTCCTGTCAAAATCAGACTTTGAATAATAATAATAATAATAATAATAATAATAATAATAATAATAATAATAATAATAATAATAATAATAATAATAATAATTATTAACATTATGTATATTTTTTTAACGAAAGTAGTCTTATTACTCATATTTTGAAAAAAAAAAAAAATTTCGGAAAAGAGAGGAAAATATGGAATTAAATTTTGTAAATATGTATTTAAAAAAAAAAAAAAACGAAATTGATTTAAATGGCGAATGACACACCCTCCGACCGTCCCCCCATCTAACCGTTCTCCCCTTCAATCGTCCTCCCATCCAACCGTCCTCCTCTCCAACCATCCTTCCTTCCAATGGTCCTCCCCTTCAACCGTTCGAAAAAAAAAAAAAGATTCCAGAATTTTCCTTCCTTCTTTTTTTTCTTTTATTCACTTCTTCGTTTCTCTCCCTTCCCTCCCCTCTCCCTCCCAACATAATTTTTTTTTATATTTATTTTCAAAATGGCGTATAAGAATAAACAATAATTTAACATCCGGTTTATTTGTCGAAAAATTTGTCGGCTGATTCTATCTTAACAAAATCATCAATTTATTTACTTATTTTTTATAAATTTAATCTTCTGCTTTTTTTTGTTGTATTTTGATGAAAATACGTAATAATAATAATAATAGTAATAATAATAATAATGATTTTATTTGTCGTTTATTTTATTCGGGCGTGAACCGGAAAATTTTTTTTTGTTTTTTTTTTTTTTCAATTTTATTTTAATTACCACTTTTTTCTCGGATGATAATGATGATAGTCTCGATGATGATGATGATGATGAAGCAGGTGGTAGGGGGTGAAGTAAAAACATTAAAAATTATTAATAATTATACATAAAATTTTTTTTAAAAATTGTGATAACGTTTTAAACGTTCTTTTTTATTTGGGTCCTTGAAAAAAAAAAATATAAAGAACTTAACGAGTAATAAAATTAATTTTCTTTGTTTTTATCGTGTCACGTGATAAAGGGAAAAAGGAAAAAAATAAATAAATAAATAAAATTTTTTAATCATATTTTATCGATAACGATTTGATAATTTTTCTTTTTTATTTAAATTTTCCATTAAAAGAAAATGTTTTGTAAGGGAAACGTTTTTTTTTGTAATATTAATGCTCCAGTAAGTCGCCTACATAAAAACAAAAACCTTTTTATGAAAATGTGACTTCGAATTCGAATTTAACGATTTGAGGGGGGGAAAGGGGAGGCGTGGGGGTGGTTTTTTTCCGTTTGTTTTTTTATTTCGTGCATAAAATACCGTTTGTCCGTGTGTTTTTGTACGTGTGTTCTTACTTGTTTTAACAAATACTTACATAATACGTATAAAATAAATAAATAAAAATTTTTTTTCTGTTAATAATGTTTAACTTATGTAAAAATCCATACAAAGAAAAAACGTGATTACGAATTGAAATTTTTTTATTTTTTTCTAACTTAATAAATAAATTTATTTATTTATTAATAATAATAATAAAAAGCAAATAAAAATTTTGTTGTTGCTGTTGTTTTTATTAATTTTAAATTTATTACTTTCGAAAAAAAAATTTTTTTCCCTTTGTAAATAATAATAATAATAATTTATTCGTAAATGTGATTTATAACAAGTTATTATTATAATTTTTTTTATTTAAAATTATGTAAATATATATATATATATATATAAATAATTTCAATTTAAAATAAATAAATAAATAAGTGATAAAATATTTTTTTTATTTAATAAAGAAAAACTTATATTAAAAAAAAAAGAAAAAAAATTTCTCGAAAGTTTTTTTTTTCTAAATACAATAAGAGAAAACTAAATTTGATGATAATTTATTTGAGAGCCTTTAAAAATTAAATTTTCTTTTTTGAATCGCATGGGAAAAAGGTTTTTCTTTACCACGGAAAATATCACAAAAGGTAAAAGAACAACCTTTTTTTTTAGGGGAGTCAATGATAAGAAAAAAAAGTTTTCGAAAAAGAAAAGGGGGGAATAACCGATTGTGGTGAATTAACCGAATTGTTAAGATTTTAATTAAAACAAAAGGGAAGGCCACGAAGATAAATGAATGATTGAATAAATGAATGAATGTGACGGCCTCAGTGATTGCGGTAACGGTATTGGAAAAAGAAAAATTAGTTAATGAGAAAATTTTAACTTTCATAATAATAATAATATTAAAATGTCATAAAAATTTCTATTTTAATTTATTTTAGTCACAATGGTATCCATTCAAAGGTTACCAATTTTTTTTCCTCTTCGCGTTTTTAATATTATATTCGATTGTTACTATTATTATTATTTTTTCCTTTGTTTCGTTTCGTAAAT